CCACAAACCCCGGCCGGGTCCGGCAAATTTTCGGTTCCCCTTGAAACATCTCTGCTGTGTTCTCTGCTGTCGGCATGTGTTGTGTGTAAACGCAGGTGTGTTCTTGATTTGTTTGCATTGTGAGAAGCAGCAGCAGTTTTTTTATGTGTTTGTGTTGTGAGAGGGTGGCACGGTGGCTCAGTGATTATTACTGTGGCCTCACAGCAAGAAGGTCGCTGATTCGAGCCCTGTCTGGGTCAGTTAGCATTTCTGTGTGGAGTTTGCATGTTCTCCCTGTGCTGGCGCTATTAAAGAATTGATGAACTAAACTGGCCATATTGTATGAGTTTGTATGGGTGTTTCCCAGTACTGGGTTGCAGCTGGAAGGGCATTCACTATGTAAAACATATGCTGGATAAGTTGGCGGTTCATTCCGCTGTGGTGAACCCTGATAAATAAGGGACTAAGCTGAAGGCAAATGAATGAGTGAGTGATGACTGAATGTGTTGTGAGGATTTGCCGCTGTCGAAGTGATGAGGATGATGTTAATTTGCTGGTGTGTTTTGTAACCGCATGTGTCTTCTTGACTCGCAGCACACTGAGATCTCTCGCTCACTGTAGAAAGCACCCTAGGAAGAGCACTGTTTGTAATGTGCTGTGAATGCTATGAAGCCTGTGTGTGATCTGAGCTGGAGGTGTTTCTCTCCCCGCTGCAGGTTCTCCACATACCCTCCTCCCTCTCCACAGCGCACTGAGTGTGTCGGGACGGCTCCAGCTCGGGTTGTGGCTCCGCCAGGCTGCGTCTCAGTCTGCAGCTCTGCAAGGCGACTTTATATTCGGGCGGTTTGAGCTTCTGGGCGTCCTGAGCCTGAGCGGCGCCCAGAGTCAGACCCTGATAACCTGGCGGCGTTGGTGGAGGAGCACGGAAACGCTCGTCTTTACAGGGAGACGTTACACAGTACACTGGCAGAACACACACAAACACACACACACAAACAAACATCAATAAAAGAAATCATAACGTAAATCATAAAGACGATCACTGAGAAACTGACACAGCATGCAGAGGGGTGAACACCAGCAGATCTGAACACACACACACACACACACACACACACACCGCACAACATGCTTCTATTTCTTATTGTCTTTGTCTTGTTCAGGGTTCGTACTGGTGCTGGAAATCCTGGAAAATGCTTGGTTTTTAATAAAGTGTTTTCAAGGTTGGAAAAGTGCTTGAATCTGCTTGCATTTGGAATTGCAGAGCTCGTAATTGCGACCGTTTTGGTTGCAAATGTGCTCGAAATTTTATCTATGCGAGCTCAAAATATATTTGGGAACATTTGTGCATAAAGAGTGCATTAAATTGTTGCCGTTCGACCAGTTTTCACTGCAAAACGTTCACTGCATGCGTGTATTTAGGGGACATACACGCAGAAAAATGCCAAACGAAGCACTCAGGAATGGTTTAAAACAGACATGTCAACTTGCTACTAAACCCTAACAAAATCTGACTGGAAGTTCACTTTTTGAGATATCAACTTTATGTAGAAAGAGACCAAACTTAAAAACATATGTCTTCCAATACTTTACAATATTCTACCTTGCAATATTTTTAGGTGAACTATCCTAATAAAACTTGCTCCAAATTATTCACCAATTTAAGTTCAAATGTCATATTATCTTTTTAAAATAGCACAATGAATTTAAATGTAAAGTACATACAACGTACATAAAGGTAATTTGCCATGATTGTTAGGTGATGGAAAAGCATACAAATGCACGTTGAAAGTGCTTAAAGTGCTGGGAAGTTGGAAAAAGTGTAAGAACCCTGCTTGTTTCTAGTCCAAATATCTAACATTTTTAAAATTAGGAATTAAATTAACAAGACAATATTTTTACTTGTCTAAAAAAATGTTCCTTGATTTCATTGTTTTTAGATAAAAAAAGAAACAAGACTAAAATCATGTTTGCATGTGTGCTGGAGTCCTTTCTCACAGAAGACCACTGAAGAACTAAAGGAGTCGAGATGCCTAAAGTGCTGTAAAATGTTCTGTTTAAAAGCAGACTTGTTCTCATCCTTTCAGATATTTCACTCAACTTAATGAAAAGAACATGTTGATCAGTATAAAAAAGAAATGAGCAGTGTTGGGGAGACGCATTACACAAGTTATACACATTAAGTAACGAGTAAAGTAATGCATTACTTTTCAAAATGAAGCGATAATGAAAAATAAATAGCTGAAATAAAATGTAGTCACAATGAGAAGATGAAACAGACAGAAAGGAAGATGACAGAGCCTTACGTTTCTGCAATGTAAATATTCTCTTGATTGTGAACACATGAAGGAAAATAAAAGAGGATCATCTGAATGCACAGTGACTTTCCAGAGCTAATAAGACTAAAAGCACAAACACACTGTCATTATATACGGCATGTAGAGCTCTGGGTCTGGAAGCTCTCAGAAGATAACATATCCTTCATTAGTATTATCTGATGTGTTTTTTTAAAGGTAAATAAAGGTTATTCTGTGTATTGTAAACTCCTCCATAAAAAACACTGCAAGATCTGAATGAGATCAAGCCTCAGCAGGTCAGAAAAAGTAACACAAAAATAACGTGATGCATTACTGACCATAAAGAGTAATGCAACTATTTCATATTTTAGGGACTAACTCAATATTGTGATGCATTACTCTCCGAAGTTACTTTCCCCAACACTGGAAATGACCGAAGCCACACACCACCTTCATAAACATGCTCATTTCAGCAGAACATTTCAGACGGCACTTAGAGGATTTAGCTTCAAATGTGTTTTTTAAAACTGATTTCAGCATACTGTGGAACTATTGAGTACTACTGAGGACAGACACTGTGAGCTTTTGTGAGTGTGTGTCAGTGAGCATCAGATCTGCTGGTGTTCCTGTAAAGCAGCGCTCCTCAATCCTGCTCCTCGTGTCCCCCTGCTCTTATTTTAAAAGACTTAAATAATCACTCATTAGTAGAGATCTCCATGAACTGTGTTGAGATCGACATGTTCCCTACATAGTGTTCACTACTTTCTACCCCCTGCACAGGGGAAATCAGCTGAACTCGAAGCTTAATTCATTAACAAAACAAAAAAGACTTGCACTACTCATCTGTATGCAGATATAGATTCGTACAGTAGTGTGAAGGGCTTTTGTCTTGTTTCCAGTCTAAATATCTGAACATTCTTAAATTAAGAAGCATTTTCTAGACAAGTAAAACATTTTGTATTGTTTTCTGAAATAATGAGTCAAAATGAAGAGAGTTTTACCTTAAAACAAGCAGAGTAATCTGACAATGGGGAAGAGATATAATGATATTTCACAACTAAAGCAAGATTGATTTGCTTGATTTAAGAAAAGACTCACTTCATTTTGACTCATTATTTCTGAAAACAACACACCCTCATTCCCTCACCATACACACACGTTTAAGAGTGAAATGTGCAAATCATGATTCATCGAAAGCTGCATATTAAAATTTATTCTAAATGTCTAAAAAAATCAAGAACAACGGACAGCACACGTGTGCAATAATCATGTACGCCTAAAGAACCCTACATGTGTTGTTTACAGGATGAATGAAAAGCAGCTAGACGTTAACAACTGAGATTACAGTACATAAATCAGCTGCGGTGTCCTGTATGAAGATGATCAGTGTGTCTCAGGAAACGGCGTCTTTAGAGAGCCGACAGATGTGTTTCTGAGACTGATGGATGATCAATCACAGAATGCAGAATGTGTCATTTTAAAACAGTTTTTGATGAACATGTTTTGATGGAGCGCTCTGTGCGTCTGCAGCTGGAATAAACTCTGGCTGAGCATCAGGAGCGCTGATGCAGTCAAACCCTGAGTAGCATTAAAGCTCTTTCTGTAGATTCAGAGCCATCATTAGCTCGAATTCATTCATCTTGCAATTTTCTCTGGACGAGTGAGGAAAGCCCTTATATGGAGCTGATGTGGGCGTGTATCATGCAAATGACTAACCTCGTGCATTTTAGAAGACTCTGAATTCACTGACAGAAGAACGAGTGTGTACGCAAATGTGAATTAGGTGGAAAATGTCCATGAGAGTTTCAAATGTGCAGGTAAATATAAAAAACACGCTCTTAGTGATTTATACTTGTCTAGAAAATGCTTTATAAATGTTCATAAATGTGGACCAGAAACAGTAATAAGAGCCTGATGTTGTGTGTATAGCGGGGGGGTGTGTGAGGAGCAGGACTGTGAGCCGCCGCTGTAGAAACTGAAGCTGGTTTTCACCTATGAGCCCCTTCTCTGTGCTGGAGGTGATGGTCTTGTAGTCGGAGCCGTCGGCTGGATCTGTGCTGTTATGTTTAACTGGGTCATATCCGTCCTCTGAGTCTCGTTCCTCCAGCAGAGCTGGGTCCACCTCTGCGATCGGGCCGCCCATGGGGGTGTGGCGGAGGCTGAGCGGCTCTGGGGCCCGCTGCACCGTCTGCAGGCTGTCCTGAGGAGAATCAGGGGGCCACAACCGAGTTTAACCGGAGCACCCGGAGGAAACCGACACAGGGAGAACATGCAAACTCCACACAGAAACCACTGCGCCACCATGACGCCCCCTGACATGTTTACTTCTTAAAAATATTTAAAATGTTTCTTAAAATAAAAAAAAATAATAATTATATAAATATTTATCTGGACATTTAAAAGAAGATATTTGTGAGATCATTAATCGCAACAGCGAGATATTTTAATGTAAGGTTACGATAGCAACAGAATCGCATGGATACCTGAGAGTTGCTGGAGCAGGAGGTCCAGCTGGCGCGTCCGCTGTCCGCTATCTCTGAGACGGAGGAGTGTTCAGGGGCCGTCAGCTCCTCAGCACTGTTGGAGACGGTGGAGAGCGCTACTGTAGAGTCCCGTACAGATGAAGACCAGCTGAGACAGAAGAATACAGCACAGACTCAACACACGGCTGCACACCACACCTGACAACACTCTAAATCCAACCCGCTCTTTAAGATCTCTAAACTCAGGGCTATCCAGAATAGCAAAGTCCACTAAAGGAGGTCGAGCCTTCTCATTTATGGCTCCTAAACTCTGGAATAGCCTTCCTGATAATGTCCGAGGCTCAGACACACTCTCTCAGTTCAACACTAGATTGAAGACCGATGTTTTTAGTAAAGCAAACACACGGCGCAGCACATAACCGTATGATGCATGAGTGTGCTCCACACAAATGAGTGGGCTTGACAAACCACCTGAAGGACACACTCCTCTCCCGGTCTTTCTGTATTCCTCCTGTATTTCTAATTAATTGAGCTGAAAGTCATCAAAAATGCTGGCAGACAACTTAGACTTAAAGACAAAGGCCGTCATGACAGTGTGATGATGGTGTGTGAGTGTACCTGCAGTCTGCTGGAGTGTGTGTGAGTGTGTGTGTCTCTGCCGGGACGCTGGCGGGGGCCGCTGTGAGTCCCGAATCCACAGAACAGTTGCTGACGATGCTGGAGCGGGACGAGATCTCGCTGGAGTCTGACAGATCAGAGCGACCCGCGGGCATCAGGGCGTAACCTGCAGACAGAAAACAGTTCAACATGCTGCTTTCACTCGCGCTTCTAGAACAAATATCTACAAATCCTGACATCACAAGACATTTTCTAGAGCTGCAAAACATGCTGCAGATATAATGTTTCTCAGATATAATGAGTTTCTCCTCAAAACAAGCTAAATACTCAGCCAATGGGGAAGCAGAATGATCATGTTTTCGCTTTAAAATAACATTATTCTGCTTCCCTCATTGGCAGATTATTGGCAGACGTTAAAACCACATGCCTTTAAATAGAGTAAAATGGTTTGCTCTGATCTGTATCTTAATTAATAATCCTAATAATTATAAAAATGGATGGACATATAATAGGTTATACCACTGTGAATGCATAAACACGTCTATAATAATGCATTAATCAGTCTACTCAAGAACAAAACCGGCAGATCTAGAGCAGCAGAACTATCCACAAGACACTTTTCTTGTAAAACAGCGGATGTGTCTACATATAGCCTAACATTAATGTCAAACTAGATGCTTAATTTGACCCACAGTAAGCTCTAAAATAGCTAATCAGAGGTTACTGTAGGCCAGAATACACCACACATCCCTCAAAACACTGACAACTCAAATACACCTTATTAAGAAATTAGATGTCATTTAAACAAACACCTGAATTAGATTGACTGAAGCATGCATTAATCAAACTAACATTACTGAACAAGTTGAAGAGCCATATATAATTCACACCCTGGAAAAAGGGACTGTCAAACTAAGGTGACATCACTGTTCTGCATGTGAAGTGTGCAGCTCAGAGCAGTGTTGTTTTCTTTCCAGGCGGTTTCTAAGTGTAAGAGCTCATCTGGTCAACCACACTGTCAGTTCCTCTACTAGTTTCTTTCTTCAGCTGTCAGTAAACATGTGTGTGTGCTGTATTTACCTGAGCTGGCTTACACCTGCCACTGAGATGAGATCGAGACTGCGCAATCAGATCAAATATTACTGACGTTCACTTCTATCTGAACATGATGGACAATAAATATACAGCTGAAGACCGAATCATTCACCCTCCTGTCAAATTTGCATTATTTTTAATATTTCCCAAGTAATGGAGAGATGTTTTCATATAGTTTAATAACTCTGATTTCGGTCAGACTTTATTGTGATGGTCTGTTTGTTGAATTTAAGTTACAGTGCATCTACATGTCAACTAATCCTCATTAGATTATCAGTAGACTGTTGGGTTAGGGTTAGTGTAGGTTAACATGTACTTGTAAAGTTTCTTATGGTCAGTTAAACGTCTGATGAAGAAGCAGCATCAGCAGACATTAAGCAGACAGTCTACTCATACTCTAATGGACCATTAGAATGAAGTGCTAACCTGATTTATTTTCTCTTCTTCATGATGACAGCACATAATATTAGACTAGATATTCTTAAGACACTAGTGTTCAGCTTACAGTGACATGTAAAGGCTTCACTAGGGTAATTAGGGTAAAGTTAGGGTAATTAGGCAAGTCATTGTATAACAGTGGTTTGTTCTGGAGACAATCCAACACTAATATTGCTGAAGGGGGTGAATAATATTGACCACAGCAGTTCTAATTCATATATAATCATTTGTGACTGCGTTTATTCCTGCCAAACTAAAAGAAATCAGACTTTTCTCTGATTTACATAATATAATGAGAATACAGCAGGACATTCTCCTCTGTTAATCATCAATTGGGAAATATCTGAATGATGGAGGGTGAGCAAGTCTGTCTTCAACTCTATATCGCATCACCAGATGTAGGTATTCAAACCTAAAGCGCAACACAAAAACATCTGCCTTTATTACACAACACAGGAGAACACATGAACACATCTGAACAATCCTGTCAGCTAACATCCTGACGACACTCACTCCACACACTGCCTCTCTAGGTTGTGTCTTGTTTCTAGTCCAAACATCTGAACATTCTTAAATCAGGAAGCATTTTCTAGACAAGCAGAATATAATGATCAAGCAAACACTGACTGAAAGGAATAATCACCCCGTAAGAATGCAAATCAACACACACTTTACTCTCCCTCTGGTGTTTCCAAACCTTAATGAGCTTCTTTCTCCGGTTCAACACTAAAGAAGATTCTCTGAAGAAGCTGGAAACCGGTCACCATTGACTTCCATTGTATTTGTTTTCCTACTGTGGAAGTCAGTGGTTACAGGTTTCTAACATTCTTCAAAACATCTTCTTTTGTGTTTAACAGAAGACAGAAACTCATAAAGGAACAAGTGAAGGACGATTAATGACAGAATGGTCAGTCCTGAGGGAACTGTGCCCGTTAGTGGGACTCATTATGTCTGAAAATGAGAGGATATGTTGAGCTTGTCTGATTGAAGAGCTTTTACATATTTATACTTAGAAACAAGACACACACTCTGAGCAAAGAACGCTTTTCTGCAGTCTCATATGGCTAACACTGAAACACACTTCAGCCTGGCTGTGCTGATGGACATGTGTGTGTGTGTGTGTGTGTGTGTGTGTGTGTGTGTGTGTGTGTTTGCTCACACCAGCACCATGATGAATATATTAGTGTGTGTGTGTGTGTGTGTGTGTGTGTGTGTGTGTGTGTGTGTGTCTGCTCACCCCAGCACAATAATGGGTGTGCTCACCCCAGGGCCATGGTAAGTGTGTGTGTGTGTGTGTATGTGCGTGTGTCTCTGTGTGTGTGTATGTTCACTCCACCACCATGATGAATACATTAGAGTGTGTGTGCTCACCCCAGCACCATGATGTGTGTGTGAGTGTGTGTGTGTGTGTGTGTGTGTGTGTATGAATAAAACTCATCCTCATCTGATCAGACAGTTTTGCTCCTGCAGTGTGTGTGTGTGTGTGTGTGTGTGTGTGTGTGTGAATAAAACTCATCCTCATCTGATCAGACAGTTTTGCTACTGCAGTGTGTGTGTGTGTGTGTGTGTGTGTGTGTGTGTGAATAAAACTCATCCTCATCTGATCAGACAGTTTTGCTCCTGCAGTGTGTGTGTGTGTGTGTGTGTGTGTGTGTGTGTGTGTGTGAATAAAACTCATCCTCATCTGATCAGACAGTTTTGCTCCTGCAGTGTGTGTGTGTGTGGCTCTGCTGTCTGTCTCTGGAGCGGCTCCAGTCTCTAAAGAGCGCGACCGGCGACCGGAAACGCTTGCGGCGGCTCACTTCCTGACTCTGCCTACTCTCTTCCTGTCTGCTGCTCTGACAGGTGATGCTCCAGATGTGTTTCTGAAGGAAAGCCCCACCTATGCCGTAGGTGCGTCCACCAGGGGCCGGAGCCGAGGAGCCGTTCTGCCGAGACGACGAGACGCTCACTGTAAGGGGCATGATGGGAAAAATACTGTTAGACTCAGCACACTGAAACACATGCTTTACTTACACCAGGCATGTCCAGACTCAGTGCTGGAGGGCCGGTGTCCTGCAAAGTTAAGTTATAGCCCCAATCAGACACACCTGGGTTGGCTAGTCAAGCTCTTATAGGCTTTTTGGAAACATCCCTGCAGGTGTGTTGAGGGAAGTTGGAGATAAAATCTGCAGGACACCAGACCTCCAGGACCGAGTTTGGACACTCCTGGCCTAGTGCAAATATCTGAACATTCTGCAGTGGGTGATCATCAACATGTTGTGCTGGTTGAAGAGCTCTCATATTCAATACTGTCAAGCGTTTACGCTGAAGCCGGTGTGAATCGGGCGTAAGAACGCACAGATCTACGTACAGGCTAATGAAAGCACTCCACTACTGCAGTAACTGTCTGTGCTCATTTAAGAGAAGTTTAGTTGTGTTTCAAATAAACACACAGGACAGACATGACAAACACACAGCCAAATGCCAAAGTGTTCACTTTCAGTCCTCTTTAAATGGCGCATACAGAAGCTGCTCTGAGAACAGTGTGTTGATCAATATGAAGCGCGTCCGTCAGTCAGCACTGATGTAATCATAGACGGATTTAGAGGTTGTGTAGGAAGAGTGATGATCGTGTTGTATTCATTTCAACATGCTTTCAAGCCAAAATAAAGCAGAAACAGAATTCTCTGGAACAGCTCTTGCAATTGTGTCACGTCTGACATCGGCTCTGTGTTGATACCTTCACTTTTCAGATGAAAAGTACGAGAGAAATACGGAAATAATTAAGCGGGATGAAAGCGGGACACACGAGGAAAAATATGACAGGTATGTCATACAGGGCTGATTATCCAGTGTTGGTCCAGCAGTTGAAGCACAGGTGAGTGTGTACCTTTGCGTGGAGAGCCCTGCGGGGACACGGTGGGACTGGAGTGCAGGGACGAGACGGTGGACAGGCTCTCTTCTGTTCTCCTGCTGTCCTCGGCTGCACCAGCGGATTTCTTCAGCGTCTGCGGGGAGTTTGGACCTGACGAGAACAGCAGACGCTCACACACTGATCACACACACACTAGGGCTGCACAATATATGGTTTGAGCATCGATATCTACAGTTAAAGTCAGAATTATTCACCCCTGCCTAGTCCACCTTATTAACCTAGAAAAGCCTTTAAATGTCACTTTAAGCTGTATAGAAGTGTCTTGAAGAATATGAAGTACAATATTATTTACTGTCATCATGGCAAAGATAAAATAAATCAGTTATTAGAGACGAGTTTTTTTAAACTATTATGCTTAGAAATGTGCTGAAACAATCTTCCCTCCATTAAACAGAAATTGGGGGAAAAAATAAACAGGGGCGTTAATAATTCAGTAGCGCTAATAATTCTGACTTCAACGGTATATGTGTGTACCCACTATAATCACATCGCAGGATTAGATGATTTATTAAAGAATAAAAGATACAGGCATTATTAATATTAATATGATTAAATAATGTATTCAATATTGACCATGCTGATTTATGTTTGAATGTTCAGTTCTCTACATTAAACAGAAATTG